CCCAACCCATTTCATCTGACAGCATCACCCAAACACTGTACAGAGCATTGAGGGACGCTCCTAAATGAGATGGAGTGTGGTGTAAGGGGTTGAGAAGAAAAGGTAGAAGAAAGATACCTCTACACAATGATTGCTCTTCATTTTCAGCCTCCTGCTTCACAACCATCTGATACAAGAGCATCTCTCAACCCCTCTGTGTATCATGGATGGGTGGGGAAATCAAGTTTCTTGGGACTCCCTTCTGATAGTACAACACAGAATATTAGAGTCTTGACTTTTTTTAAACTATCACTTTATAGGAGAAATTAGGACAAGTTTCCCTTGAATACATACTGACTTTTACCATCAAAAAATGTAAGAATTATACAAAAATAGGTTGCTCCAAGAGGCCAATTCTATAGCAGACTATGGAAGACAATTCTCCCATTAAACTGCAATCTATCCTGTTGCCCCTAAAATAAGACCTAACCTGAAAATAAACCCTAGTATGATTTTTCAGGCTGCTCGTAATATAAGTCCTACTCCAAAAATAAGCCCTATCATGTTTCCCCGAAAATAAGACAGGGTTTTATATTACTTTTGCTCCATAAAAAAAGCAGTAGGGCTCATTTTCAGGGGATGTTTTATTTTTTTCATGTACAATAATCTACATTTATTAAAATACAGTCATGTCATCTTCTGGTTCCAGCACAGTGGTGAAAGGTGGACTTTCACTTAACTAGGGCTTATTTTTGGGGTATAGCTTTTATTACAAGCATCCTGAAAAATCATACTAGGACTTATTTCCAGGTTAAGTCTTATTTTCAGGGAAACAAAGGTAGTTAAGTGAAACCCTGATCTCCAGCATTGTGGACTCCATGGACCAGAGCACGCCAGGCCCTCCTGTCTTCCAATGCCTCCCAGAGTTGAGTCAAATTCATGGTGGTAGCTTCAATGAACCTGCCCAAGCATCTTGTCCTCTGTCATCCCCTTCTCCTCTTGCGTCACACTTTCCCAACATCAGGGTCTTTTCTAGGGAGTCTTCTCTTCTCATGAGATGGCCAAAGTATT